TGTATCAAGGGTATTAAGCGTACGTTGTCATTAAGTATATCATACTGTAATTAATGTGTACAATTTGAATTAAATGATAAATGCAAATTGCATTCATTATTGTATACAAAAAACGATTCTGAGCGGAGACGTATATATTTGCTAAGGTTATATTTTTATTATAATATGTTTATATTGTTATTATGACAATTTTTTTTTTATTATTACCTAACGATATAGGTAGTAGGTTGAACTGATGTTCACCAAAAACAAATACCATATTTTACTATAATATTATTATTTATTATTATTGTTATTATTATTTTACCTAATCTTTATTATATCATAAAATGATAATAAGCTATTACTATTTTCACTTTTGACCCACTAAAGTATGCCAACTCGACGTGATTTTCTACCAGAAGAGTAGTTGAAGCATCATTTATACTATAAAAAAGTGTTATTAGACACAAAAAATCCACAGATCCGAATAAAATCAATACATGTCTACATTAATCCTTTCAGAATTGAAAAATGGGAGTGAAACATGCATAGGTACCTACTAAATTATTATCCAGTATATTATATTGATTATTATAAGCAAATTAATTGTATACATTATATTTTAGGTCTGCGGTATTCCAATTATAATGGGCCACAACCCAACCTAACCACGACAATATTATCTATTCTAATTTATAAGGCGTGCTATATCTACTATACTATATAATTTTACTATATTATTATTATGTCATAATATTATGCTCACGACGATCTCGAATAGATTATTATATCAATATTCGTTCGAAGATTTCATTACTATACATTACTATTACCTATACAATATTACCTAATACAGTTATAATATATGTACCTATCTACTTCGGGCGAATCAAACAATCCGGGTCTAGTGTGACCCTTCAGAATCTAATTATTTACAGCACCCTGAAAATAAATAATTTTTCAATCGTTTTTTGTTTTTTATATTCTTCCTGGATGGTTTTACTAATATGATGACTTTCACTTATACTCTCGATGTTGCCAATTGGACTGTGAAATTGTAGCCAAATCGCTTCCTATAAGATGACAAGAAAACCTATCACAAAGGGGATGATTCCAAATTATATATGCTCACATTAAGTCTCCCGAGAGGATGAGTGTGGATGAAGGTTCTGTTAGGAATTTAATAGTATGGGGAAATACATGAATCGTTTAACCGAAATAATGTTTGCTAATACACAAATTATCATTCGTTATATATTATCTAAGCTCGGACGTGTTTTATACTTGTCAATAAATGGCATGGAGAAATAAACGTTTTCAAATCAGTTTTGTAGAGTTATCCTTTACTATTGATAGCCATATTTTACGTAGTAAAGATTGTTTTTATTTCCACACGTGTATGGTATTATTTTATCATATTGTCCACTCTTTGAACGACTGAAGCAGTACCTTATTTTTTAATTCGAGAATCTGAGATAAAATAATATTTGGATAAGATATGTTTTCAACTTTTTGTACAACTTTTTTTTCTAGCCGATTTTCATAATGATTTGTTTATTGCCATAGAAACGCAAATCAAAAATAATTATTTAAAAATTAAAATTATATTAAATTCCAAAATAAATGTAGCATGTTACTAGATATTTTTCCACTGCATTTTACCCAAAAACTTATTATTTATTGTAGCTTAATTTCCACTGCAGAGGAAAAATATTTAGTAGTATGCTACTTATAAGTTATAATATAATATAAGAACGACATTTTAGTTTTAAATATCATACAAATATACAATATACGAATCGATATTGAACTAGTATATATTTAGACTTTGGAGTTATATTAAGTATTTAATGTTCGATGAGTAAAATGGCTTAATGGTACTCCACAAAAAGTTGGTCGACTACTTTGCTTGTCTAAACATTAAAATAATAATTTTAATACCTTTGAATTTCGAAATTTCGTATTTAAACCATCTGAGCAAATCTGTCAACAAAATAATGATAAAATGTTAATCTATGAAAATTTACAAATAACAACAAACCTTAATACTGTTGTTTATTCGAAAGTAATAATACTATCCAAAACCATAAATAATATTATCGCCGATTATAATAATATAATAACTATTTATTTTATTACTAACTGTTAGTAATAAATGTAAAATTATCTTTGTACAGTCTAGACTCTATTATAGACTCTAGTGATTATACAATGTATAGATTGTACCTAATTATCGGAAATCCGGTTTTAATTAATATTATGTAGGTAATTATAACCATTAGAATTATGCGAAAAACCTTCGAACTATTTATGGACTATGATATGCACCTTAGGTTATCTTGATTTCAAATTATGTTAAGAATAATATTAATTATTAGTATAGTGTAGATATTTTTTAAAAATAATAATATTACCTATAGTTGTTTTTAAGTGTTCACAAATTATTCAAACTTAATTAGTTTTTTTCAAACCACAGGAACTAACGACATTTTTTGTTTAATGATAATTACCAGCTAAATATTAATCGTATGAATTTAATGTGGTTAGGTACAGTGGATGGCGTAAATATTTTTAGTTTACAATGGGTATTTAATAGACTCGGACGACACACCAAAAAACACAAGGTTTTCTGATGTCAATGGAAGATCTAGCTACATTCGAAACACAAAGGTCTATTGGCAAAGTAGTAAATGTGCCACAAGAACGGAGAAGAGCTCGAAGAATGCAAAATACCCAACACCTTTAGACGCATCGCTATAGGATCTAAGTCTGAAAACAACCTAAACTTATTATTAGACTTAAGAAAATCTGAACTATATTATTATAATGCATATAAAAAAAAATAGTTCAAGTTAAAAAAAAATTACATTATTAACAACCTATGGCAGCTTTATGGTTATTTTCGATAGATACAAATATGAAATTTTCTCATGAAATGCAAAATCAAATGTTGTACAGTTTTTTTATGACAGTAGGAAATATCTAAATGTGTGCAGTATTGCCAGTATATTTACGACATTGAAAATAAAATATTTAAATTTTTTTTATATTTTAACTTATCTAATTAACATGTTACTAAAAATATACACTTGTGAGTTGTGATATTATTCTATATTTTAAAACTCTTACTTTTTAACTATACTATAGCGTCTCAAATAATTATGTAAACATCCTTGGTATGGCTTTACCAGGTAAGACCAAATAAAAAAAAACTGATCGCTTATATTATTATGATCATTTTAGTTCTAGTGTCAATAAAATGTTTATTAAATTAACCCAAATTTAGATACTCTTGGAAATGACTCAAAAGAGATATTTTATTCAATAAATTATTAAAATCAGGAGGTATACAACACCTGAAAAAAATTAAATTTTATTCATATATTTATATTAGTTAATTACAGAATTTTGGTCCGATTATTACATTTTTAAAACTGTCTACACCTCCGTTGATCATTAGAGTTGATAAAATGTTTTCTACATGTAATATTAATTTAATGAAATTTATGGAAAGAATAATTACGCTGGGTATAGATCTCTAGTATCATTCGGTTAAGCTCGGTGCATGATAGTTAATTATCTGTTTCGTTAATTTGTTTTAAATTTAAATTATTTAAATGAGAGACCACCATGTTTAAAAAATGAATCAAGCTGTGTTTACCTTGGGTAACTTCAAAAAATGATTTTAAAATTTCCAATGTCCTTTATATTTTATGGTACAATAAAATAACTCGTATTGAATATTATTAATAATATGTTAAAATTGCACTTACTTGCATATTTTTTTTCTTCACATATTTGAATAAGGAATGTTTTTGGTACCTATATGATAATAACAAATGCAAATTAACACTATAATTGAGAAAGTTTAATAATATATTATAATAATGTCAAATTTTAAGTAACTGATTTTGTAACTGCTGATGGATAAGGCCAACCGACGAGGGCATTATACGTGAAATATTTATTTTATACTATTATTATAAAAAATAATCATTGTTTATTAAAATAAAAAAATATGTCTGTCAAAAACCAAAGTATAATACCTATAGTTATAGATGAATGAAGATAGTTTGATGACCATTGTAGTTTTTTCGTTGATACCTATACGGAATACTAAAGAGTGGATTTATCCTTTGTATTGGATATAATATTATTGTAAAATTGAAATCATAAATTATATTATATAAAATTTAACAGTCTATTATAACGTAATAAATATTATTATGTCTTCTTTATAAATTATAAGTTAATACTGGAATAGATCAAATGTTTTGATTACTTAAACATATTAAGTCTAATATTAAATAATAAATATGGTTACAAACATGTTTTATAATCGGAAAAAATCGTTTTAATCTCTAATAGTTAAATTTCCTGTTCTAGCTTTGTTAGGTAGTATATTATTATGTACAATATTATCATTATTATAGGATTTATTTGATGTAGTTTTACATTATAGTCTTTGATCCACACTGATTGTTTTATTACAATACAATTCTGTCAGTTATATAATATAACTTATAATACTATGTTATTCTTTTTTATTTTTTTTTTTTTTTTTTTTTATTGATCTTAAGCTTCGGCAACTATGGCCATTAGCTATAGTGGTTTTATTTTTGTGTGTTGTTATGTCGGTAGGGGGAGGAACACGTGTGTGTTGGGTTTTGGCAGAATTTTGAATGGGGCACCCGTAGGTTTCTGCCATGCCCCGGAGTGGGGGATGGCGGCACTTGTTCTCCGGACACCGTGACTTGCCCGGAGAAAAATACCGCCCAGTGGTCGAGAGGATCGAACCCGCGACCGCCAGCGCCGCAGACGACGTGTCCGACCGCTCGGCCACCTCGTCCCCCCTATGTTATTCTATAGTCATTAAACATTACACTTTGTTTTCTATAAAAATAATATAAATATATTAATTTAACAACCGAGTCTATTAATTATTTCCATTTAGTGAACAAATTAATTAGGTACACTTAATAAGGTATCTTAATATAATCTTATAATACTGTACCACCTCACAGCCTGTGTGACCTCCCTTCACTGCAAAATCTGTCATCTGTCATTTTTTCAAAATCTGTCATTATCCAATATGGATTTAGTTGCCCGCCATTATCTTCGCAAAAATCAATTAAGTCTTGAAAAAGACGTATATACAGGGTTTCAGATTTTGATGACATTAAAGCATATGCTAGTGGCAAAACTCGAAAATTGTCTCCTCCTACAGGTGCATGTATGGTATATAGCTGTCTAAATATTGTCGGGACTGTCCAAAACGTACCATCCATAATTAAATAACGAGCATGCGACAGCCGTTGAACATTATTTTTAGTACAAAATAGTAGAAGTTTTTCATCATTAATGGTTGAATCTTTAATTAAAAATAACTCCCCGCCAATTGTAGTTCTCAGTGAATCGGGAATTGTTAGATCTTCTAATGATTGAGGTTGCGATGGCGTATTTTCCCTTCTAACACGCTTTATTTGTTGCCGTAGAGCATTTCTATTCGGCATGTATGGATGAGCAGTACTTGGCATATTTGTAACGCAACTTTGAATAATTTGGCAGGGTTGGTCATTGGTATTTCGTGCTTGATCTTTTAAATGGCTAAGAGTAGTACATACATCAACCCTAGCTGCTTCAGGTGCGTGATTATGATCAGAAAATTTACGTTATAAATGTTTTTCGTTGACAAGTATAGTGGTTGCACGTCCTATGAATGAAACGCAAAAATTAAAAATAATTTTTAATTATTACTTCTATTGTTATTATTATTTATATTAAAATGTGAGTTAAAATATCGAGTCCACTGAAATTTGTTCATTTATCAATTAACATAATAGTATGTCCCAAATGAAACTTATTATACATATATTTTTTGGATGAACGGTACCACACAATGACAATGTACACGAAATAATAACGTACACGGTATCGCAATTTAACGGCACGGTAATATCGATAAGGAATGTTGACACCCATAAACGTCTATAACGTATATAATGTCAAATACCCACGAATAATATTTTTAAATTTCAACATATATTATATAAAATAATATTAATATTATATAGTATACATATAATATCATTTTTATAAGATATATCAATTTTGAAAAACTACTTATATGAAATATTTATTTTGGCGCAAATGATATGTCATTTTCGTACCTTTGGCGCTTATGTCATATAACCAATTTATTAATTTGTCTTTCCGGTTAATGAAATAATAACTTACCTGTGCAGGCCATTAGTTTTCTTTTTTCGCAGCACCAATAATATATGTCCTCTCGATTCTTGTCTTTTGTCATTAAATATCCCTTGACACATATTTTGGCATTTCCTTTTTGAGATGGGATAATTTGACATATTTCACTCATAATAAAAAAACTAACTTATATTTAAAACAAAGGTACTATACAATTAACACGCAAAAATACGTTTGTTCATTTGAAATGTTCAATCGTTCACTGAGACTTGGGACAAATAATTGAGCGTTTTAGATAATATAGGTACTAAATTCTTTTATAAGATAAGATAAAATTATTTTATTTTGTCGATATTTCAAATGGTCGGTATTTTGAACTGTCGGTATTTTAAACTGTCGGTATTTTAAACTGTCGGGATTTTGGTTTCGGGTTTTTGACCATTCGGGATTATCATTGTCGGGATTTTGAACGCCTCCCACTGCAAACAATATTCATATATAACTTCCTAAAAACATTGATTTTAATATAAGTTTTAAACGATTCTGTAACCAAAATATTTTGATACTATGCAGTAATTTTTTTACTTTAATATTATAGTTTATACCTAGTACGTTTAAGTATTTTAAACTTTTTTTCTATCTATCGATAAGTTGATCAAATAAATCCAATAGATGAATTCAAGCAATCGTACCCATATATCAATCCTCGATTGGTTATTTATTTAATTGAAAAATTGAAAAATATGTATTTAAAAATGCTGTACTTTTTTAATTAAATTATAATACTTATATATATATATATATAAATTATGTAAAAAAAACCTGAAAAATCTGAAAAAAGTTGTGTTTACATTTAATATTCAAAATTCACATACGAATTATATATTATTATATAATTAGAAGGTTAAAATTTAAATACAACACAGTTACTTTATAACTAATACAATTATGCTGTTTTTTTTTATTCATAAAAGTATTATATTTTTAATTAGTTTTAGTTTGTATGGGAAAAATATTAACCCACATTCATTTTTTTTTCTTTTAAAGAATTTTACATTCTATGCTTCGAGGTATAATAATAAACAAATTATACAAAATGATACACCGATATTTATACTGTTTTAAAGGGTAAAATAAACTACATTAAGACAATATAATACGATATTATAATATATTATAATTAGTAAATAAATACTAATATAATCGAAACATTCGAAACACTATACTTACTAAATAGTTTATCAATATTATAATAGTTCGGTGAATTACATTTTGCTCGTGGCCTAGGTATCACCACCCATAACACATCTTTACTGAATGCTAAGGCAATAGGTTTCACAACACCAGAAACAATTTAAATCTTCCGAACTCTCACTAAAATACTGAACAATCTTAATCATTAATAAATTTCAACCACCCAACTGTACAAACAAATAATTTTTTTTTTCCTTCTTTTAAATAATAAATATTATGTACCTATACCTACCTATTAAAATTGTAATGATGTGATCATGTTTGCCGAATAGACTAAGCTTTGAAAGTTTTAATTAGTATCCAATAATAAAACATAAAAAAAATATATTATGCATGAATTCACTCTTATTTGAAATAAGCGAATATAAATATGTCCGATTCCTTATTTTATTGAATCTTACAGCCCGGGCCATAACCAATTATTATCAATGATTAGTTATAGAGATACATCCCAACTATTAAATAAATTATACCATTACCTGTATATTTACAGGGTGATTTTTATGCTTAAATTATGCATATAATCAAATTCTGATTTTTGGAATTTATAATTACACTTGAATACTATATTTTCGAATTATTGAGCTTTTTGTTCCCATTAAGGGCCGATTTCACCAACACAGTTAATCACGATTAACGTTAACCGGAGTTTTAATCGGCCGAATTTGGCCGGTTAAATATCTGTTATCAGCCGATTAAGCGTTAACCGTAATTAACTGTGTTGGTGAAATCGGCCCTAAGGATCATCCTGTGACAATCAGCGGTGTATTTAAGGGAGGATTTGGGGGATCAATTCCCCCTTGATATTTTTTATTGCTATTATTAAAGGATTCAAGTATACATAGATAGACACTGAATCATCAATCGTTTTAGTATTTATTATGTATTTTTGATTTTTGTGAGTACAGTAAGAAAAAAATCAATTATAAGGTTATTAAATAAATAAATAATAAATAGATTGTTATTATTATGCCACTGAAACTCTTGTAATAGTTAAAGGTATATTTCTATTTTATTTACTAAAATATTGCTGACACCCCTAGGGTTTGAATGCTTATTTCACTCAGATTTACTGATAACGATAAAACAGAATTTCAAAAGTTAATTGATTTATATTAGTATAAAGTAATTAAAGTATGAGTATGAGTATGTAATTATTATTATTTATTATAGAAAAAATAAATATTTATAATACTATTATTTTTGTACTAAATTTATTGTGTTATTGAACATAGGTTTTTCTCTAAGAATATTTTTTGAGTGTAAATTTAAAATTAAAATTTATTTCAAATCTAATGAAAAACCATCAATATATTATTGTTATTCACTAAAATTAATGACTAATAATTGGTATTAAATGTTGTGTGAACTGTACAGTATGTATTGAGTAAGTATAGGAAACCTCAAAGGGGTGTGTGGGGGGAAAAGCACATATGTCATTCAGTGTCTCATCCCCTCTCTTTAGAAATTCCTAAATACGCAGCTGGTGACAATACCTCTGTTTTCCAAATAGGAACTCCCTATTTTCATTTTGGACTCTGATGAACAGTGGCGTAGCCAGGGGGGGTTTGGGTGTTTAAACACCCTCCATAGACATTTTCCCCGCTAGTAAATATATTGTTCATAGGGTTCAGGACTGCTTGCATGTTTTATTGTAGTGGTCACTGGTCGTAGATTATTTTAGATAAGTTGTAAATTTGTCTTATGAAATTTTTTTATATGTCTTATCAAAGAAAATTTGAATTTGCATATTTTAGGAAAAGTGTACATTTGAGCGATTTTTCGCATATTTGTGCATATTTTGAATTTTTTTTAACTTAAATGTACATACAATTGTCGGGAAAAATCATATTTGGATAACATTGAAAAATATCTTTAAAAATATTATGTTTGATTAGGTACAATAGGCGCTAATTTTGAGATTTGGGGAGGTCGGAGCCTAAAACCATACTATTATAAAATTGAATAAGCTTAAAAAAATTTAGTAAATGTTTGGGAGGGCTGTTAAAGTTGTTGGTGGAGCTTGGCTACGGTTGGCCCTATTTTGGCATATGGTACGTAAGATTTTATAAGTCTCTTTGTGACAAGACTGTGTTAAAACTATAATATTGACATCTAGATTCTAGATTTTACGAAGAAATGAAAATCAGTAGATACGGGTTCATTTATCACGATTCACGGTGGTAGCATAACACGTTATTCGTTATTACTTATTACTTATTTATTAACCTAGTATTTTATGCCAGTATTTTTAAAAATTAAGTTTTTTTATTTCACAATAGTTTAAAAATGTCCAAAACATGCAATAGTGTCTTCCGTCCGACGTCCATCATATTAATCAAAATAGGTGCCTACCTAAATTAAAATTAGTTAACATGTGTATAAATTATTTGTATCATGTTTATATACCTCCTTATTTTTTAGTTAGTAAAAATCGGCTATTTTTATTCAAAATAGCTGCATATATTATATATCATATTTTGACAATTTTGACTGCATATTTCGATAATTTTTAGTGCAACAAGCCAAGTCCCGAACCCTAAATTTATTTATATACGAAAACTGTAAAGACTTGGTTTTAATCTATACTTGAACACCCCCTATTTCATAATCCTGGCTACGCCACTGCTGATGAATGTATTAATCTTACAAATTCTGAATATCAGAATTTGATTAAATGTACTATAAAAGGGAAAACCATGGTGAACGTGCTAAAAAATCACCCTGTATAATACATTATACGTTCATAATAATATTGCCAATAGTGGTTTCATTGCGTCACAACCATTATAATAAAATATTAAAATATATAATATTATAATAATGTCATAAAGTGTACCTACCTATTATTTAACCATATTATTATCTAATGTACTGCAGACAATAATATTCTAAGACTACCTACGTCATAAACCTAAAATATTTTGACCATATGTCAATCGGGGTTCCGGAATCACTGGTCCGACCCGATGACGTCAGGTTGGGTTGTTCGGTTGTGGTGTAGTCAACCCGTTTGCGTGATATTGTCGGTACGTTCGGTATAAGCTCCCAAGGATACATTTAGTCGTAGTAGTAGTCGTTATTCTGGTATCGTGGTACAAAAAAAAATATATATTAATAAATTATATTAGAAACATTTCCAGACCTTTGTGTCGTAAATTACGAACACGTTATCACTGAGATTCGGGACGAGTCGATACCGCGGCTAGACAAAAACAACGAAGACCAGTGCTGCACTTCCCAACTACCTCCGAGGCTGGTGGGGTGTACGTGGTGGGTTTTCCGCGGTTGGGTGGGGACGAGAACCACTTGTTGTATCCGCGTCGTTATATATATGAAGCTCGTCGGACACTGGTCGAGTACAAGTCGTTATCGATACGGCGACGGCGACGACTGCGACGACGGTGACCATCGAAGAGTTGTATCCCGACAACAATAATTATTACAATAGTTATAATATCATAAGTCACAGAATTAATATCCAACCGATATAAATCTCGTCACCGACACGCAGATCTCGTCCGAAACCGTACCGAGGGTTGTCTAAGTGTAGTCATATTCATCTCCGGACGACATTCACCGAACAGCAGCAGAAATGGCCACGAAAACCTTAATTTTGCCCACGCCGGAAAAGTTGAAGGAGATTTACCAGGACCTGGGCATGACCGAAGAAAAGGCCGACGCAGACGTGCAGACCATCGTGGAATGGATGCGTAAACAGCCCCATCTCCCCAACCCTGATGGTAATTTATAATATTATAAAATTATATTTTCAAAACTATATAAATTAGGTACCTACTAATTTTAAATATTATTATATTAATAAGTTTGTATATTAAAACTTAATGAATTCATAAAAAAAATGTCATAATAAATTGTCCACAGTTTAAGAAGTTTTTTTGGTTTTTTTGAAAAATTTTAATAGGTAAGAACACTATTAAGAATACGTGTAGGTATAATAGGTACATAATAAAATAATAGTACCTATGAAAAACTTCGATTTGCAATGCATTTTTTTTTTATCCCATTTTAATATTATTACGATTTTTATTTTTTAATTTTTTACATAAAATTTTACTGATATTTATAAATTTTATATATTATAATTGGCAGTTTAGTTTAGTACTCTTCGTAACGCGTTTTATAGAAAAAATAAAAAATAAATAAATAAACACACAAACTCAAGAAATACCTAGATATCTAAATTTTTCACTAAGTTTAATGACTTCACGTAATTAATTCAAAGTGCTCAGTTACAGCTTAAAATAGTTTGTTTTGCCAACAAAAAAGATTTAATTCGAAAAATCAAATGTATTTTTCTCTTATCATATTATACTTAACGAGTTAGAATTAAAAACATGTTTGTTGTTTATTTGTAGGTGATGAACGAAGAATTCGTTTGTTTTTAATTCTTTGCAAAAACAGTTTGGAGAGGACCAAAGAGTCTTTGGATCAATATTACACATTAAAGTCAATGGTTCCAGAGTTCTTCGGTGACAGGGATCCTACTGCACCACCACTTTTGCGATCGATGAAAACATCGTAAGTACATACTTTGTATAGTATTATAATATATTATGCATAATATGGACATTATTAACGACCATTATTTACAACTGTACCTAATAAGTACATATAATTTTTTTAGATGATAAGTTTATTTCATGCTCGTACTTCTAATTGGTAATCACGTACATGTGATTTTTAGTAATTTAAACGCGTAAATAGAATTACTGCTGGATTTTCAGAGTCGTACGAATATAACATTATTCAAACCTAATGTTTTTAAATTTTGTAATTGCACACGTTAACGACAATACTATTTATATTATTACCATTCAAATACTAAACAGCAGGTATTAATAATTTCCAACAGTCTAAAATTGTTCAATGATTATTAGCGTCATCCTATAATAATTTTATATTTAACAATAATTATTTATAATAGATGGTATAGGTGTATAATATTAGAAGAATATTATAATTTATTATATACTATATACATCATTAAGTAGCCTTATTTATATAATTGGTACCTACTTAGTAATACTATATATTGAGGGAAAATGATAGGTTACATCAAATAGTTAGCTGTAATGATTCAAATATCATACTCGTAATACCATTTAAGATTGAATTCAGTATAAATAAAATATTATGTTGGAACCAAATTTTCTTTTCAATTTTTAGTCTTTTCATTCCTCTACCGAAACTGACTCCGGAAGGCTACAGGGTTTCTCTAAGTCGTATCAGAAGCCCGGAAATTGATAATTTCGAATTCTCGGACTACGTCAAGGTCAACTTTATGTCCATCGATATTAGGCTGTCCAAATTGGATATGTTCAAAAAGGAAATATTCGTCTTCGACTTGAAAGACATCACCATGACTCTTCTGACCTCTATGTTACCGCATATGAAGAAGTTCGTCTACTGCGCAACAGTGAGTATACTTCTTCTATTTATGAAATTATACACGACTACCGTGAATTAATGTTATGGATCTGAATAAACATCACCAGGACAGACGGGCTATATAAATAATATTGTTCTCAATAGGCGGAGGGCTTGTGGCAAACGGAGAAATAATGGCCAAACAACGCGTAAACAGATAATGACGGTTTTGTTTTTGAATTTTTTTTTTATTTTTCTAGATTTAATAACTATTATGACTGCCAAATCGTTATATTCGTTTTTTTTTTTATAAGAACAAACACACACAAATTAATAACTAAAAAACGTCGATCGTCGAATCGCATTGTCTGCTTAGTTTCCGTATATTGAATCGGCTAGCCTATTATAATACCTATCTACTTCCATTTCATTTATACGCTGACAGTCCTTATGGACATTTATACACCCACGAGTCCAGACGAACCTGTTGCGTTAGACCAGCTGATAAGCTTGTAGAATAATACACGAGGATTGCAGGAATATTATTGCTTTGAAAAAAAAAATGCGATTTATCGCCGCCTTAGGCACATTATTCGAATACCACTTTTGCATAGGCATTTGCGAACAGTGTATAAACTTGGCTGGATTCCACCATGATTGCTGCAAGTCTCCGTGTCTTGCATGGTAAATTTATGGATCGAATCGCGAAACTAGTTAGATCGGTTTTACTACGTCCTTATGACGATAATATAGTCGCGGTATCTATACCGGAATATTGTTCGATTTCATTGTCAAGGTTGCATGCCGTAGATAGCGAATAATATCACGATACAAGACAAAGCGTAGATGCTTCATTAAATAATAAGTAGTCCGGTGGTTTAATCCACAGCGTATCTTTTACCAGTTTTCAATAGTTATAATAATAATAGTTGTATACGATTCGTGTCGGTGTATTCACAAACGTAATAAAATGCTTAAAAAAAAAAAAAATGAAAACCCCCTCCGCGCGTCACCCGATGTAATATTATATATTATTATTTATATCTGTGGAAAATTATAATAATTATGACGCACCCGGATATGTTATTTAAATTGTGGTTTTTTTAAAAAAAAAAAAAAATGATTTTACCAGAAATACCAATGTCCGTTGACTTACGATGACGCACGTAAAATATTATAATATTAATTGTATAGGTACACAACTCTATATATTATTCTACTGCAAGTCCTATCAATGAGACAAATTGTTTTTGTTATTAGTTACCTACCTATAGTTGTTAATTATTATAATTTTTCACTAATTAACAATAGTATAGTAATGATAATAACGTGGGTCCGATGACGTAGTACTACTAAAACCAGCTGAAAACTGGCCAACTGCTAAGCGTGTGTTTTGACATGCCAGAATACTTCGGAGTGGTTTTACATTTTATACAATATTACAAACTAATCATTTTAAATGGCAACTTAACTTTGACGGGTTCGCGGATTTAACACTTGTGAAAATCATGTGATAATATTGACCTAATGCTTTTAGAGTTAAACCTAGCTGCGCGTCTTAACAGTGATGGTGTATCTAGAAGTTCCAATATTTGATTAGAATAATGGTCGTTTGTATTCCCAATTTTATTGGCAAAAACCATAAAACTTTATAGAATCAACAAACTTACGTCTGATATAATATTATGGTATTCGCGTTTTTTATTATTATATTGTTGAAAGATTTTGTTAGGCTGTAGCCTACCCAATTATATTATTGCAATGCAAACACCATGTCGTTCAGAGACAAATTATTGCGAATATTCGTTAGGATACTAACCTCGTTTGTAATGAAGTTTTAATAATATGCGTTTGAAATCGCGTTTTCAGACGGCCTATCCGTTGCGGATTCAAGAAATCCACATTGTCAACATGCCCAGCTACGCTCAAACGATGGTCAACATGGTGCTGGGTGTTTTGAAAAAGAAAATCGCCAACAGGGTGAGTTGTGTCCGACGTGTTTCGAAACAAAATATTGTTTATAATGAAGACTATCCGATAGTAACGCCTGTTTTTGTCTCGTCATTTCCGTTATAGATTAAAATCCACAGCAGCCTGGAAGATATGAAGAAGCACATCGGTGTGGACATCCTGCCTCTGGACTACGGCGGTACTTTCCCGAAAACTAGCGAAGAACTAATCGGTGAGTCCATCCCCTCCACTATACTATCGATAATCACGATCATAATATTATAAAAAATATTATAGATCCAATAACAGTACAACAGTAGGTGCGGTCGTTGTTTTTTAATAGTTTCTAATATGTTTTCTAACAATTTCTAATAGATATTTGGATCTTTCTATAAACTATACATATTGTACATGATGTACCTATATAATAATAATATACTAAAAATTTTGCAAAGCGAGTGATGTACGTAGGTATAATATTACTATATAGTTTAACATTATGATATTACTGACTATAAAAGTCGACAAACCTATTTTCACCAAACCAGTAATCAAGAAGGTTAAAAAAAAGTATTTTTGTTTTTGTGATTTATTTTACATCGTTATAACATTGTTATTGAGTTGCCTACTTGATATTATTTTGCACACAAACAACAGTGTGAATACTGTGATATACAATAATATTGTCGGTTGATACGTATCACATTGCAATATTGTGCATCCCCAGTTTATAAGGTTTGGTATATTATAGCAACCACGCAAATAATATAGACCTGCCTACGACCACTGACGACTACGACATACGTATTACGATTACCATAGTGGTATAAACAGCATGGTATACGATAGCGAATAGGTCCAGATTATTTTAAAGTCAAGCCCACACGTCACCCCGGAATATTTTAATATTGCATCAGTTTTTCAATTATTATTATAACCATACACTAAGCTACGTCTCGCATGCCTACCGAAGGATCTGACATTCGACAAATTCCGATCATACATTTTTTTTTTATACCACAAGGTTTACACTGTACCGCAAGATAATATACTAGGTTCATGTCTCGTGGTCGAAATTAAAAATTTAACGTCATCAACAATAATATTATTATTTACAGCAGTAATTAATTAGGTAGTGTACAATTCAGTAGTCGTCTTCGTGACTGCTCGACAAAACGTTTTAAACTTTTAACGATCCATAATGACTGTACACAATAATAACAATATGAATTATGTTTTATTATGCCGTGTTATATTTTTCAAGCGGACGATCATCGGTAACGGCTCTGCGAGCGTCGTTTTTAATATTCACGACCGTTTATCACCGCGGCTGATGTGTAATATATTACCTATTATTACCTAGGTATAACCTAACCTAACACGATGAGTCGTCTGTGACTGATGTGAACGTATATTACAATGTCTGGGTTGTCGACTTTCTGGTTTTCGACGTTTGACGTGCATTTTGCATTAAGGGTGGCTGATTTTCCAAATTTTCCTCAATTCTATAGAAATGTGTAAATTATATTTTATAATATTTTAGTTGCCACATGAATACATTTTAATACTTTTCCACTTACATCTAATACTATATTAACAAAAATAACTGCACTGTGAAAACTAGACCTCGAGTATAATTGTCAGATTTTTATTACTGTTTTTTTTTTTCTGAAAAGAAAAGATTTCTAGAGCTAGCGTTGAAATTCGAGAATTTTTAATTTATTTCAAATAATGAGAAAAACAACTTTTCTTTTTTTTATAGGTACGCCTATTATGATAAAGTATAACTTAAAAATATTTAAAAACAAAGTTAAATTCGGGGTATAGGGTATTTACATCTATCAATAAAAGGAATAATAATCAAATTCGAAAATTGGTTGATTCTACCGGACAGGAGGATCGTTATAATATTCTGGTAGAGCTTATTTTTGAGGAAACAATTAGATTAACATCGGGCGCTTTGATAAAAATATGGAGGCGTGTGTCTTGAACACAATAGTCAATGCTTCACTAGAATGACGTAGGAACATAATTTAAATAAGGAATAGTAATTTTATTGTTGCTGCTTTGTGAACGAATAAATAATGGAACAGCCTATCGCGTATTTAATATTATACCCTCCGGGATCTTTTATTTCCTTAAATATTATAATGATTGCGTTCGTTATTCCTTTATAACAACACCAACACCACCAACAACAACAACAACAATAATATATTATACTCGTTTGTTAGCTAAAAAACCGGATTTCGATGCACCGACGACGGTGACTAATACCGACCAGAACAACCTATACAGACAAGCAAGAATGCTACAATTTATTAATGTTGACTCTTTGCTCTCAAGCATCATAAAAACAAATAAAAAATAAAAACCCGTCCTTTTTACTTTTATCGACGTGTTCGAATACCGGTTTTTTTGTTACCAGTGATAATTAATATTGTGTGACGAACGAATACTATCTGTATCAACACTATCAACTACCATTGAGTATTTTCAGTAATTTTGAATTGGCTACAATGGCTATAACACTACTACCTGTATTTTGCTACGTCCTATACTAAGACACAGAATATTATTATTGTAATGCTCGTAAGCGATTTTTTTCATCAAATTTTAATTTTCACACATTTTACAACTTGATATTGTATTACTATTTACTAAATCGTATTAGTGTATTACTTAATACTGTACAAGGACTAGCTGTAAAGTTTATATTTCGTCTGACCGTCCCAGTGTCTCGACCAGTATCACGGATTGATCATTCAACGGTACGACAATAATATGTAACCATTCGTTGCCCGTCGGATTATATTATTAAACGATTATATTTTTACATCTCGGTGTTCGTCATCGCCAAAATAAAGATATTAATTTATTATGTCCTTCGTGAAAATAGCATATTTTATTCAGTGATTAAATGGCGTCGTTGGGAACACCGCGGATACGACGGTGATACGTGGTACGGAAACGTTTTCGTCTGTATCTAATTGAATATATTATTATTTTGTTTTCACAAAAAAACTGTGAATGCCAAGACCAAACCTCAAATATATAATTTAATGACGTGTGTATCATAATAATTAGTGGCTACTTAATAATTATTATGCTGTACGCAGTACCTACACATCATAATGATAGTGTACATGGGGAATATTTTTTATTAATACCTTAATAATTACCAATCATCGAAATGCATTACGACAATAAATACCATCGATTGTGATACGACGTACTATAAAAACGGTATTTGTTTCGAAAAAAGTCTAAAATTATACGAAATAATACAATAATTTCTACGTCGACGATATCGATAATAATAATATTATTATCTCGACAGTCGCCTGCACGACCAAGGCCCATTTGTAAATTTCACGACGTGGAACGATAATAATATGCACCTTTACTAGAACTTACATAATAATATTATACACTCACGCGTATCCATATTGTTTTTCTCCGAGTTCTCCTTAAAAAATTAAAAAAATATAACTAAAACACCGTCCATGTGATGCTCGCATAATAATTATTACTCTATAATTTTAGTGTATTATTTACGGCGAGGCCGAATTGGTAATAATAATCATATTATTATAATATGAGGTCGACCGAATTGTGAGCGCAACACCGACGCATGCCGTATTGTTATTAACTACTTTACCATACTATCATTTATCCTAGATTTGTATTATAATAATTCAGATACTGTTTACAATAATGTATTTAAATGTCGGTAATACTATATAGATCGTTACTAGTGAGGCATAGACACTTTCGATACCAAATATTATTATTATTATTAAGCCGAACTCGGTCGGCCCATGGACACTGCAAGTTCGAGTCTGATACGACAACTACCTACTAATACAACAGGATAAACTACAGCCCAAACGGCGTCAACCAACCAAAACGATAAAAGATAAAGCGATTTACCCGCCTAACCTTTTCACTGCCTAACACTACTGATTTATATGGTTCACTGACAGGAAAAGTTTTTTTTTAACCAAGATAAAAAAAAAAAACGTCAGAAAATTTTAAAATTTTAGCGCAATACGCATTTTACTATATAGTCAATATTTGACTATCTACTCCCAAATCAGATAATAATAATATTCATTTTTTTCTCGCGAGCATAGACTTTCATCACGAAGAGTTCGCTTCACCCTGCGGGACAGGGCCTATCACTGACCTATACAGATTACAAGACTTGGTCTCAGATATTTTAAATTACAATTTTTTGTCCGTCTTCGAATCGGTCGTGTGTCTGTACAAACAGCTGCAGCGGTTACTTTTTACTCTCGTGCTTGAGATACGTCATAATATATTTCTGTTTTGTGTATCTAGTGCGATCAAACACGGCCAGTTAAAATCGATACGCTTTTTGTCGGACAGCAGCTATAATATTATTATACTTCGTTCATCGCTGTTCGGCACTTAAACGTGCTGCAGCCGAGTGTCGATGACTTTTTTATTCGTTTGATTTCTACAAATCTATCTCTTCGAAAACCTCTTTTCGCCATGTCCAAAACCACCCGTAGCCACTGTTAGTATTGTTCCGCTAATACTTAGGTGTTTAGTACCTATAGTGTTATGTTTTATTTCAAGCGATCGGTCCAAACATAATATACAATACAATATACGCGTACTTATATAATATATTATTATTATTTATATTGAAAAGTGTAGAAGTTTCCTCCGGATTTGAGCCCACCAAACTCTATAATATTATACGAGTAGGTAGGACCCACGTGGTCGACGAAGTGTATTTACGATTTTTATGTCCACGCGTGACGCCATAATATTATTATATTATACACTTCCCATGTTATTATTATTATTTTGTTTCACTGACGGTGTGTACGTTTTTTACGGTCACATCTATAGAACGACGCGTGTTGCAGTTTGTAAGCTTCGGAATTCGGATACCTGTTTGTTAAAACAATAATATTGAATTGCATCCGCCGCAATGACAATATTATTTTACTCGTTTCGATGTAACCCAACAACAATATCATTTGTTTATAGGTACTATACAGCTATACATATACCGACATAATATTGTTATACGCGTACACAATTATTATTATATATTATACGTCGTGTATGCACGTTGTAGTGCGATCGAGTTTTTTTTAACCACGTCGTTATTATTATGAAACGTGCCGTTTTTACGCCATTCGTGCGCATGACATTATTACAATCCGCGGTTTATTTAGACTTCAGATAATGTGTCCGAACGGCTTTGAGAAAATAATAATATAACACGTGAATCATAAAATATATTGTAATATATGTAATATGTTTCTCAAACGTGGTATCTCAACATATTATATGAAGTCGATAACAATTTCGGACTGGTCATCAAACAAAAAACAAAATTAAACAAAACACAAGACACTAATAGAAGACATTTCGTGTTAACATTTAAAAACATTTCTGATGAAAATATTGTATTTTTAATGAGGGGGGGGGGATATTCAGTAGTTGGAACTGATATTTAACTTATGATATATTAAACGTTGGTGCCAATCATCTGATCATCATCTATACAGATTTCACTATTGTTATTATTATAATTATTTTTATTTTTATTTTTTTTAATTACAGTTGATTGGCAAGAAGAATTGATGAAACACAGGGACTGGTACCTATCTCAAAATTCGGTCAATTGTGATGAGAACAAAAGGACGAAGAAACCCTGCGTTAAGGTGAACATGCTGGCTGGAGTTGAAGGCTCATTTAGAAAACTCGAAGTCGACTAATATTTTTGTGTTTAGTTTTTAGAAATAGTGTTTTTCTTTTTTTGTGAATTGATTTATTTTTCATTTTATAAGTTTACCCGACATAGACTAAATAGGTTATGTACAGTATTTAGTTTTTTTCGGTGATATTAATAGCATACTTTTTTTATGTAACCTATGCTTAGTAGTATAAGTCAATCTTTCATTATTTTTTAAATAGAAACTATACAATAGTATATGACTTAAAAAAAATGTTTAGTTTGTACCTTTCTTAGCTTCTTTTCAGTTCATTTTTATTATACGCTCACTCGTGATGCAGTTATAAGTATTTATAGCTTTTGGCTGTACGATTTCCGCGCGAGTTTATATGAATACAAATGGTTCAACACGTAAGCACCGACCCATGACCCTATTAAATATATTACATAATTTTAAATAAATAGATGAAAAAATACATTTTCAGACAACCCAACAGCCCTACACGTGCGTTTGAGAAATGCATTTATAAAAATTACTTTGAAAACTTATAGTTTTTTAGAAATCGTCGTGTACATCATAATATTTTTTCGGTCAAACTCCAGAGACGATTCTAGAATGTTAATAATTGTACCTACTTATATCATTTGCTTTGTCTTAATGACTACATCAGTGCTTGAATTGTGGCGAGAGGGGAGAGATTTTCTACCATTTAAAAATAATATATATTTTTTAGAGCGCCCCATACTTATTATTTTTATTAAAATTGGAGAATGGTACGTTATTTATAACAAACATTATTTTTTGTAATTTTTATTTCGTAAAATTGTATTGAATATTATATTGAAATTCAATTCGATACATTTTACAACGTATTATTGTTATGATACTGCATAGCAAGTAAGGAATATAATGTAATTTTAATTTAAAAAATATATATAAATTATTACTATGGGTGTACCTACATTAAATTTTGATTAATTAAAAATATTTTTAAAATGAATGAATTGATATTTCCCAAGAGTATTTATTTTAATCACCTATGAGAAACTAGTGGTCACTTAAATGCTGAATGCCTATTCGTAACCTAATATTGTAATTATTTGTGTGAAGGTTGATGGTTGCCCCACCTCCAAACACACACACAAGTTACGATAAGTAACATGAGATGCTAATTTTTTTCAAGTTCATGTCTCCAAATACAAATATTATAATATTATTTAAAATAATTACTCACTCGATTAAAATTATCCAGTTAACCTGATTTATGTATAATTTAATGTATATTTCATACTTGAAGAAAACGTATACGTTATTTCATCGAGTTTTCAATCCCATTATATCGGAAAAAAAAATGTCCGCTGTCAAAAATATACTAGGTAGACGTTTTTAACGTGAAGTTTATTTTTATATTTCTCAAAATTGTAACGTTACTGCAAAAAGAAAAAAAACATAATAATATTTTATTTTTATTGAGATAATAACGCAGATATGAATGAATATAAAAAATACTATACGCGTCGTTCGTGGATTAATAAATACAATATTATATAATCTCAGACTACTGGGAAATTACTCGATGGGAATCATACGATGTATATTTATGGACCGACTGGTGTGATGTCATGACTATAAAGTCGACATCCGGAAATTGGAGAATATTATATTATGCCTATTGATGAGCCAACCGATGTTTAATTATTAGTTTTCATGTTATGGTTTGTTATCATCGTGTATTGTAATTTTAAATAGTTATTATATTATCAATCTTCTACCCAGTCTTATAATAAAGTACTTCGGATTTCCGATGTCAATACATTTTAATATTAATTCAATTATAATTTCAGATTTATAATCTTTTATAATATCACAAAATACATCAATAGACCGCTGTCGACTAAGGGCCGCTTTCACCACTACTTTAAACTCCGATTAAAGTTAAACCGGCGTTTAATCGGCCGAATTTGCCCGGTTAAATATCTGTTATCAGTCGATTAAGCGTAATCGAAGTTTAAAGTATTTGGTGAAAGCGGCCCTAAGTCCTGAAATTGCATGAGGTATTCACAATTTGTTTCGTTTTATACAATTATTATAACATTAAAATATCGATGAGTTGGCGTTGCCGGATAATCGTTTCGAGTCTTAATTACAGATTCATTTGTTAATATTGTTATTTGTTAATCTTAAAAATTATTATTATCAACTTATTTCAAGTAATACTCTCTGCTGTTTTAAGTGAGTGTATAGTTTGGGTTTAAAGAAATAATTTTGTATGTCGTCGAATTTTATTTTTTTTATAGTTTTTTATTGTTAATATTTATAATTTTCATAATTAATCAATGCCTTCTTCATTTCTAAACATTCAGTTGTCTATATATGCAGAGATAAAGCAATTGTACCTATATTATAAAACCTACATTGACTACTGTAGATGGATCAGCATCTGTGCCTAAATCAAATGATATTGTGTATTTAGGAACAAATTGTCTATACCTGTCACCTACATAGTCGATACGTAGGTACCTACATAGATAATTAATACAGACATTTGACTGGTTTGTTTTCATAATAATTATCTTGTAAGTATTTAATTGTATTGTGTTGACCTTAAAAAAACTGATGAATATTGATTTGAATAACTGATTGAATAAACTATTTAATTTTAATGCATAAATCTTACCACACGAAAAAAAAAATACAGTAAAGGAGCTCTATGACACTTTAAAAGTTCTAGATTTTTGGGATCTTAACCAAATAAACCAGAACGTTTGTCAACATGGTTTGTCACATGAATTGTTTAATATTATATTATATTATCTTATACATTCTGTAGTTTATTATTTGAAATGTGTAGTAAGAAATAGTTGTACTACCTACAACTTTACTGTATTTTACCTATTTAATCGTATCAAGTAAATTACAACATGCGTTATATGTTAAAGATTCCAAAATTTGAAATGATTAATATTTTAGGAAATATAGGATAACTGATAAACAAACACACAAACTATATAGTGATTTGTGTACTAGATTATTTAAAAACAATTGCAATATATTGTATTTTAATTGCATTTTGTTTTACCTCCATTAAAATACTACTCAAAAATGTTTATAGCAATATTATATTTAATTCTAATTATTGTGATGAACTCGGTGAAAAACGTTCTCCTGAAAATTGAATGACCGATCGTCACCTTGAAGAATATTTTGTTGCTATATAATAATATCAAATACATTGTTAATAACGTGTTAGTGTGTGCGTGTGTGTGTATAATATATTATACCTATTATACCTACCTATTATATCTATTATGTATACCTAATAGATTAATTATAAGTATATGTTTTTAACAATTATTTTATGAGCACAATGTTATACGGTATAATGTTTGAGTATTTGTTATGGTTTCTAAGGTAGGGCTAAATAATTTTTTATTAATTGATTAGTTTAAAAGTTAGATTTCAAACAAAATAACTTTTTTAAATTAATTAGATATTAGTTTTTAGTTTGTAACATATTTTAGCGATAAAATGTTGACTGAAAAAAGGGTAAGTTATGTAAATTCAAGTTTATGTTTTAAATAAACATAAACACTTTTAAAATAACTTTAAAATATGACTATAATTTAATGAAAATCAAACTACAGTAAGCATAATGTTTATAAATTAATTATTACACGTCTTGTTATACAATTATACCTATAAGAAAATAAATTATAAAATGAAAAATGTCAAAGCTGTTTTTTGAAATACTTGTAATATAACTCGTTTTTATATTGATAATACATTTGGCTATTATACTATGGTATAGAAACTACTGCGTTTCTAGTATTGTATTCTCTTCCGTGTTTCATCCAGTTTATAAAAATTGTTTAGATTGATTTGATTTTGTTTTGCAGATAACAAAAATTAATTAATTAATACAACTCATAGATCATGAGTGCCACGCCAAATCATTTTCATCTACATATAGGTACCTATTTAATAATAAACATTGTTTCAAAATATTTAATATGAAAATTATTAGTTAATAAAAAAAATAATGTAAAATGATTGTCCTTGATTCTATTTTGTATAGACAAGCGTTTTATTTTTATACATAATAAAATAAACCAGAATGTCGTTTAGTCGTTTTTTCCTATATTATAAAATAATCTGATATTATATTATGGTGTTGGGGCAATCGGGCATTGATTGGTGACAAATAACAAATAATTAATATATAAGTTATTATAATTGATGAAATATAACTTATAAAAAATGAGACTGTTAAAATTACCGTTTACTATAATTTATAGACGGCCTTTAATTTTAATATAATATATTCAGTGTTGTTAAAACTACTTTTCAAATGTATTTGCAAAAATTATATGGTATTCTGGAATAAAAAACAAATAGGTAATTTTTAAGTTACCTATTTAAAATACACTTGTCAAAAAGCATTTGAAAAGTATTTGAAATACCTACCAAAAAAGTATTTAAATACAAGTATTCGAATATTTAACTAGACTGAATATGTATTTTAATATAAAATGTGTGTAACAGGGACACGATATAATAATACATATTATGATTTTAGTATGTAATTCACTAACGTAGATGGAAGCAGATTGTGCTGAGGGGACATAATATTTTGTTATTTAAGGCCACCACCGCAGTTGTGTGTGTGATGAAAATTCCACTGCTATAATACTGTTTTTTGTGTGACTGTCTTAAGTGGAGAGAGGGGTGACTATCATATATATACGAACTTAAGTGAAATAAATTTGGCTATCGAACGATTGATACCTTTTGGCCCAACGGTTTAGAACACTTAAATTCACAAAAAAAAACCCACCACTGCTTACCCAAAAAAACTAATAGGTTGAGATAGAATTTATGTCATCACGTTGACATTATTATTATCATTTAATTGTCTATCCGACGATTCGAAATCGTTCTATTAGAACATAACTTCTATTACTGAAAATATTTAAATGTAACAAATAATAATAATAATAATAATATATTATATTTTTAAAATAGGCTATAATAAATGTATATAT